GAGTGCCCGCTGCGCCATCACCTCAGCTCACACGCAACCTCCAACTCCTGGGCTCCAAAGCGATCTTCCTGCCTCAGCCTCCCAAGTCTGGGACTACCAGGCTGCACCACCACGCCCGGCTTATTTTTTTCTCTATATACTTTTTAGTTGCGCAATTTAATTTTCTCTATTTTTCTTTCTTTTTGTAACCAGAAGCGGGGTCTCGCCTCCCTCTTGCAGGCTGGTTGCTCTTTCGGGTCTACCTCGGGTACGTCTTCTCCCCGTGGCCTCGTCTTTGGCACTTCCCTGCCCCCACAGCCCTCTGAGTCAGCCCAATTCCCTTGGTAGGCGCCAGGACGCTTCCGCACAGCAGGGTGACTGGCCCTGAGGCTGGCCAGGTGCCGTGAACCAATCGCACTGGTCACCTCTGGTTTAGTCTCCCTGGCGAAGGTGTTTTTACTCGACCTTCCCAACGGCGGGGCCGACAGAAAATCAGCAGAATATCCATCCCAGTGTCGCTGTTCTTTGTTTCCTAGTGCAATACTCACCTGTCCACACCTAGCGTCACCCTCACAGGCTAGCCTGTTGTTCACGGGGAACGAGACACAAATCTGCTCACGAATTGGGTTCCGGTCCTCCTACACACACAGACCTGTGTTTTCGAATGGCCAGTCTTCAAACAAATCTGCATCTACCCGGCGCCGGGGCGGCCTCACTGCCTGGTCATCCGTCCTAGCTCTCTGGGGAGGCCGCAGGCGCGGCGATCGCTCAGGTCAGGAGTTCGCGAGCGGCCAGCCTGAGCAAGAGCGAGACCCCCCGCCGGTGCGTCCGCTAAATACGGAAAGAAAATTAACCATTGCCAAACCTACAATACTATAGAAAAAAATGAGCCGGCATGGGTGCATGCTGTGTCAGCTACCTCGGGACAAAGCGAGACTCTGGCTCAAAAAAAAAATAAAAAAAAAATTGCCATTTATATATACAGTAGTGCTATATACATATTGCTTCAGCACACATAATATATATATATAGCACTATATACATTGCTTTAGCACACATATATATAACACTATAATACATATTGCTTCAGCACACACACATATATATATATAGCGCTATGTATATATACTGCTTTACTTCATAAAAGATGAGAGGTGGTCATTACACAACCATATGCATTTTCTTACACAGTTCTCGTGCTGTTTAAGCAATGCTCATAGTGTTGGAAAACCCCCAAGACCATGCACATTTGGATAAATATTGAAGTGTGATCAAAACGTTCATACTGGCACCAGGGTGTCTATCCAAAGGAGGTCTCCCTCAGCAATCACGGGGCTGAATGTATTCCATTAACGACTCGGGATAAAGATGCAGAAGACGGAATTTAATCTCCTTTTGCCAGTAACCCAAAGCTACGAATATGCGCCAGTTATCTCTTAATCCTTTATCTTTGATCCGTCACTCAGACAGAACTCAGAGGCAAAGCCTGTTTGTAAACTTATACGTATCACGATTATTTATCAAGATCGACAACCTCGATTTTATAAGCAAGAACCAAACTGTACGAATATCTCAGTCTCTGCCATTATTTCCTCCTAACTTTATAAGGATAATTTATTCCTCAAAAAAAAAATATCCTAGAGAAAATTCTCATAAGAATTTCAAATGTACCATTTAGCGGGTTCTTCTTATGCCTCAGAATTGACTGTTACTTCTGCTAAAACAGTGTCAAACCTCACTAAAATAGAATAAGTGTTGGAGCAGGAAGTATTTTTTAGCACATTTTATGATATCTTGTGTACAGACAAACATAGAAACTGTAACCGTGAGACAACAATACATTTCTGATTTTTGAGCTGCCCGGCTTATAGCGCTTAGTTGCAGCCGCTGTTTTTTTTTTTTTTTTTTTTTCTTTCTTTATGAGACAGAGTCTCGCTCTGTCGCCCGGGCTAGAGTGTCATGGCATCAGCCTCGCTCACAGCCACCTCAAACTCCTGGCCTCAAGCGATCCTCCTGCCTCAGCCTCCTGGGACTACAGGCATGCACCACCATGCCCGGCTAATTTTTTCTATATATTTTTAGTTGGCCAATTAATTTCTTTCTGTTTTTAGTAGAGACGGGGTGTCTCGCTCTTGCTCAGGCTGGTCTCGAACTCCTGAGCTCAAGCGATCCTCCCGCCTCGGCCTCCCAGGGTGCTCGGATTATAGACGTGAGCTGCCGCGCCCGGCCCAGCAGCTGTTTTTTATTTTATTTTTTATTTTTTTAATTTTTTTTCTTAAATTTACAACATATGTGCAATAGCAGCTGTTTTTTAAAAAGGAATGTTTGTGTCTGTCCCACGTTATTAACCATGATGATTGAATAGTCTGTGTGTTACCGGGAGGCTAAAGAGATGCTGTTGCACCCATCATTGTAAATGTATGTCACAGTGGAGAGAGAGAGAGAGAGAGAGAGAGCGCGTGGGATGAAATTGCTGCCCCCAAACATATGTTGTCCTTCAGGTTTTAAAATTTTCCTCCCTCACCTGAGGATATTAGAACGACATAGATGTTTCCCTCTTCAGTGAGACGTGTAAAAATGTACCAGGCAGGCCGGGCTCGGTGGCTCACACCTGTGATCCTAGCACTCTGGGAGGCCGAGGCGGGAGGATCGCTTTGAGCTCAGGAGTTTGAGACCAGCCTGAGCAAGAGGGAGACCCCGTCTCTACTAAAAAAAAAAAAAAAAAAAAAAAATAGAAAGAAATTAGCTGGACAACTAAAATACAAAAAAAAAAATTAGCCGGGCGTGGTGGCGCATGCCTGTAGTCCCAGCTACTTGGGAGGCTGAGGCAGGAGGATCGAAATTAATTGGCCAACTAAAAATATATAGAAAAAAAAAAAAATTAGCCGGGCGTGGTGGCGCATGCCTGTAGTCCCAGCTACTTGGGAGGCTGAGGCAGGAGGATCGCTTGAGCCCAGGAGTTGGAGGCTGCTGTGAGTGAGGCTGATGCCACGGAACTCACTCTAGCCCGGGCAACAGAGGGAGACTCTGTCTCAAAATAAATAAATAAAAAATATATATATATATAGTGGGGAGGTTGGATGTGCCCAGACACGGAGGTTCAGCGTGTGTGACGTGTGGATTCTCTCACCGGGCACGCGTGGGGCCTCCCTCTGGACCATAGAGAGAACCTCTCCTGTCCTTTGCCCTCGGCTGCTCTAACCAGCCCAGGGCGGTCCCCTCAACACACGCGTGTTTTAGCGATGGCGTGATGCCTATGTCCAAATTTCTCCCTCCTAATAGGGGTGGTGGCTGCGTGTCACCCTAATGATTCTGCGCTAACCCGGTCGTCTGCACGGACCCGGGGGCTGGCCGTGCTGGTGTGGGGCCCCCTCTAACCGTTTTATCGTAACCTGATTATCTGCAGAGACGCGGTCTCCAAATAAGGAGACGTTCACGTTCGTAAGCACCGGGCACTGGGATTTCGACATGGTTTCTGAGAACCCTATCTAGCCCGTCACCGGGCCCGCTTGGCAAAACAAAGACATTTATTTGTGTGCTGGTCGGTTTCCGTAATACTGCAGCACAAACAGGGAGGAGTGAAAGAACAAAAATTTCCTCTCCCAGGGCTTGGCTCTGGCGGCCAGAAGTCTGACATGATGGAAAAGGCGTGGCTGCTTCCGTCTGGGGGCTCCAAGGGGTGACCTGGTCCCCGCGTCCGTCCCCCTGGGTTGTGTTGGCTGCCGGCAATGCTGGCTTCCCCTGGCTGTAGCCTCAGCCCTCCGCTCTCTGCCTCCACCTCCACGGGGCCTCCTCCCTTTGTGTCTAGATTTCCCCTTTTTATAAAGATACCAGTCATGTTGGATTCAGGTGTCACTCTAGGCCAGTAAGAACTCATCTTAACTTAAGTACTGGCCGGGCGCGGTGGCTCACGCCTGTGATCCCAGCACTCTGGGAGGCTGAGGAGGGAGGATCACTTGAGGTCAGGAGTTCCAGACTAGCCTGAGCAAGAGCGAGACCCCGTTTCTACTAAAAATAGAAAGAATGAACCGGGCATGGTGGCGCACGCCTGTAGTCCCAGCATTCTGGGAGGCTGAGGCAGGAGGATCGCTTGAGCCCAGGATTTGGAGGCTGCAGCGAGCTGTGATGACGCCACTGCACTCCAGCCCGGGCAGCAGAGCGAGGCTCTCTCTCAGTTAAAAAACACAAAAATCTAAAACTTGACTGGCTACATCTGCAAAGACCCTATTTCCAAATAAAGCCACCTTCGAAGGTGCTGGGGTTCGAACGCCCACACGGGGCTTGGGGAGACGCTGCAGCCCACGACAAGGGTCTGCGCGCCACCCTGCCCAGAAATAAGCCGGGACACGCCGAACACAGTTTCCTGCCCACGGATAATGGCAAAGGGAGGGTAGCCAAAGGGAGGTCCCCCGGCCTGCAGGGAACGTGGCCAGGGGCACAGGGGTGTCTCTGTGTCCTTCCCGACAACTGCACACGAATCTCAGTGGTCTCGACATGCACAGGTTTCACCGCACACGGCGACAGGCCCGCCGACCCCCGCAGTCCCCTCCCGCACCTACCCGGGCCGGTGGGCAGCAGGCAGCACGCCGGCGTCAGCAGCATCGCGAGCCAGAGGGCGGCCATGGCGGCCGCGGCTACCGCGGGAGCAGGCGTGTGCTGCGGGAGGCAGAGGGGGCCGGTGAGGGGCAGCGCGGGGCTGCCGGGGCCGTGGGGGTGCACAGCTTGGGGAGCAAGACGCTCGGGGTGCACAGCGCTCCCTGCAGAGGGAGGCTGCCTCGCAGGAGCATGTGTGTGCCATGTGCACTGCGCACATGTGGACTTACATGTGTGTTCCGGTGTGCAAGTGTGTATGTGCATACATGTGTGTTTGTATGTGCACATGCATGCATGCATATGTGTGAGTATGCACGTGCATACAAGTGTGCCAATGCATGTATGTATGTGTGCTCGTGTGTATACATATGTCTATTTTGCAAACATGTATATAAACAGCATGTCTACTTGCATTGCACACATGTGTATACATGAATATGCACTGTATGGATGTATATGTGTACACGCCTGTGTATATGTGTGTATGTATGTGTGTCCATGTGCCTACACATGTGTACATGACCATGCATGTTTGCTAGTGTGGATGCATGTGGATGCATGTGTGCACATGTGTGCACGCGTGTATGTGAGTTCATGTGTGTGCATATATGTGTTTGTATTTTGCAAACAAGTATATAAATATCTGCATGTGTGCTTGTATCTGTGCATCTGTGTATCTGCATGTGCACACATGTGCACACACGAATATGCATGTGTGTGGATACACATGTGTGTACATACCTGTTTATGCGTGTGCATGTGTGCACACGTGTGTGCATCTATGTGCATGTTTGTGTATGCGTGTGTGAACAAATGTGTGCATATGCATGTGCATTTGTGTGTGCAAGTGTGCGCACGCACGTGTTTGCCTGTGTGTGTGTCTGTGCGTGTCTGTGTGTCAGCCCGCTTCGGAACAGCTCCCACCCTGGTGCTCAGCACGCTCTTGGCTCCAGCCCTGTCCGGAAGGCAGGAAAGCACGCGCCACGCTGCAGGCCAGGAAACGCTGTCAAGGCAAAACAGTGGAAGGAAAGCCTCGTTAGAATCCCGAAAGCCCGGCGGGCGGAGCTTCCTAAGTGGGCCGAGTTACCGGGCACTGCGGCCCTGCCTGGAATCCCCCTGCGTCCCTGCGAAGCGCTCGCCCGCAGGCTGGCTCCTGGGGCCCCCACGTGGGCGTCCGGCCGCCCTCTGGGGCAGGGGTCCCCAGGGTCTCCCCGGGCCCCACCCCAGTTATCTTTTGCAGACATTGCTATGCCCCTCGGGCGCCCCTTTGACCTCAGGGTGGAGGCAGAGCAATACCTGGGTCCCCTCTGCTGGGTCGAGGCACGAGGGGGTTGGCAGCCAGCTCGGAGCTGCCACACAGGCCACCCCAGGAGCCCCAGGGCTTCGCCCACCTTGGGGGACGGGCTCAGGGCCGAGGAGCCGGGCTGCAACTCTCCCTCCCCAGCCCCTGCCAGGCCGAGGCCCCCATGGGGGTTCCCCACTCCGGGGCTCCAGGAGGTTTAGCACCGCCACAGTAGGAGAGGCAGGCCTCCTGCGGGGACCAACGTTCACACACGTGTGACACTGTGCCCCGGCACTAAAACCGCCCCTTACGGAACAGGGGGCCCGTCTCCCAGTGGGTGAGACCCAGAACTCTTTATCAGGCCCCGAAATCATCTTGTCACACAGGGACTCCGGGAGGAAGGAGGGTGGGACGTGCAGGTGCAAAATTTAAGGAGCCACCTCCAAACCCCTTGTTGCCATAAATAAAATTTTGATGCTTTTTTTTTTTTTTTTTTTTTTTTGAGACAGAGTCTCACTCTGTCACCCGGGCTAGAGTGCTGTGGCGTCAGCCTTGCTCACAGCAACCTCAAACTCCTGGGCTCAAGCGATCCTCCTGCCTCAGCCTCCCGAGTAGCTGGGACTACAGGCATGCGCCACCATGCCCAGCTAATTTTTTCCTATATAATTTTAGTTGGCCAATTAATTTCTTTCTATTTTTAGTAGAGACTCTTCTATTTTTAGAAGAGTCTTGCTCTTCCTCAGGCTGGTCTCGAACTCCTGACCTTGAGCAATCCTCCCGCCTCAGCCTCCGAGAGTGCTAGGATTACAGGTGCCTGGCCGGGACCTGCCGTCTGGGGCATTTCGAGTCTCCCTAACCTTTGAGAGCCACAAACGACAAACACTCTGTCCTGGGTGGTGGGGTCCCAGCCCCAAACCAGCGCCCCAGCCGGCAGCAGGACCAGCTCCACCCGACAAAAATAGAACCACCGCCGCCTTGCGTGCCTACATTTTCTGGGAGCCCCATTCAAGAATGCAAAAAGGAAACAAAGCCATAAAACCAGTGAAATTCATTCTAATCCCATACGCTATTTAACCCGAGCCCCCCAAACAGGACCACCCCAGCTTATAACCAACGTAAAAACCGCTGATGGGATCTCGAGCACTCTCGTTCGGTGCCGAGTCTTTGCCTCTGGCGTGTGTTGCCCACGGACGGCACGTGGCAGCCAAGCCTGGCCACGCAGAAATGCCCGTGGCCGGTGGCTGGGCCGTGGCCGACCTGAGTCTCCAGGGAAACCCGGAGACTCACCCCGCCTGGGACCCGGGATCTCACCTGGAACTCGGATGACAGTCCCGCCACGTGGCTCTCGTGGCTCGAGTCCAGTTGCTCCCGGGGGCCCAGCCCCGAGACGGCCGTCCAGCTGTCTTCCCGCCGGGGCCAAAGGAAGTCGCCCCACAGAGAAACGAAAGCTCAGTCGGTGTCCGTGCCCAGCTGTTTCACAGCCTCCCCACCCCACAAAAGCCACACCCACGGGGGCCCCGGCATGACAGGCGCCCGCCACGGACCCCTTACCCCTCCCCGCGGGGCGGAGACTCGGGGTCACCCCCGGTGACTTTCCCGGAGCAAACCCTCTTCGGAAAGGCTCAGTTTCCTGTTCCAGTTTTCCTGGCACTGTATCCCCTATAGCCATAGCTATAATCGCCGCCCGCCGCTCGAACGCGGTTGCTCAACTTCCTGCTGTGGGACGTGCAGCCCGACGGGCAGGAATAGATGGGGGTGCCAGGGGTGCTCCGGGCCCCGTCCCCCTCTGGGACAGGGAGGTGACCCCCGTGCCCTGCGTGACATGCCTGCGTGCAGTTTACTGGGGTCATGTCCAGCCCTGGCAGCCCGCGGTACTTCAAATCGCTGCAACTGGTCGTGTCTCTTTGCACAGCCAAGTGGCTCTTACACACGCACACCCGCCCCCCCAGTCCCTCCTCTTTCCCGCCTCTGCCCCCACGCCCCGGCTCAAGCCCACACGCCTCCCTGCAGCCCGCACCCCGAGCCCGGCTCATGCCGGGGCCCCGGCCGTCGTGGGCTGAATGTTGTGTCTCCCCCCCACCCCCCCTGACCCCGAAATGTGTGTCGGCCTGGAATGTCACGGCCACACGGCCTCATTTGGAAAAAGGGGCGGTGCCAGTAGAATTCCTTAAGATGACACCATCCCGGATTAGGGTGGCCCAAGTCCAATGTGACAGCTACCATGTTTCCCCGAAAATAAGGCCTACCCATAAAATAAGGCCTTAGCAGGATGTCTAAGCATTTGCACCATAGAAGCCCCACCCTGAAAATCAGCCCCTGGTGATGGCGTGGCTATGAAATCAGCCCCTAGTGATGGCGTGGCTATGATCACCCTGGTGGTGTGTGGCTATGAAAATCAAGCCTTGACTGTCGGATAGAGGCTTGGACTATGAAAATCAGCCCCAGTTGATGGGCGTGGCTATGTGAAAGTCAGCGTCCTAGTGATGGGCGTGA